GTAGCTCTTCAAAAAATTTTGCTATTAGTCCGTCCTCCTCTGCTGCCTTACCGTTTTTTATCTTTTCTAAAGTTCTGTGAACGTCATCTTCACTAGTTTCCTTATTAAGTTTCTCCCGTTCTTCTGCCTCTGTATTCTCGAGGTTCTCTACCACCCCCTCTTCTGTAATGTTTTTCCCCAATATAATTTTAAAGTGTGATACCTAATCTGTCATACGAATTGCTGCTCTTTTACGTTTTTTTCTTAGCCTGAACTGAGCAATAGCCTTCGAAAAGTCCCCTATAGGCCTATTTTGCTCTGCTAAGTCTTATTTTCTCTATTTTTCTTCTTCTACTACTTTTGCTCTTATTGTTTTTACTGTACCCTTCCTTCTTTTCATTTTCGTCTGTCTTTATCGTCTTTAGACTTTATCCATTTTTTTACTGTTGCCTACACCTTTCTTTTTTGTTCTTTAACCTCTTTATGTCCTTTCTATGCTCTTATCCACGTTTTTGCTCCAACTTTTTTTAACCACACCTACTTTGCAGCAACCCACCTCCCAAGTTTCTTTAACCTGTACTTTCTATGCTTTTTGTGAACCTTTTTCCCTCTATATCCAGTACGCCCTCTCTACTCTCTATTTTCTTTGAGTATCCCTTCTTCTCTCTTGCATCCTATCTTAGTGTTTTCCTATCAACACAGCTAAAAATAAATGTGAATAGAGTGTCGTATACAGGGAATAGCTCTGTAATTCTTGAAGGTGAATTGCTTGATAGCAGTGCAATAAAGAACCAATTGTCTGATAAGTGTCCAGAGCTTGAGGTGAAACCTAATGTATTTAAGAACTCTTGGCTTGTTAGACGCGGCGTTCCTGTAGACCTAAATTGGACTCTGATATCATTAAATGCATAACAAATCAAAATCTACCTAAGTGTGATAAAGATCTTGTCAAGGTAGTTTACATGTATCCACCACGTGATGGTAAGAATTTTCGGTCGTGTATTATAGAGGTCCCATAAAAATATCATAAATCTTTATGCGGTAAAACACGTGTCTTTATCGATTACTTTTCCTGTCGAATGCACAATCATGTATCTATACTGCAATGCTACAAGTGCTTGAAGTTTGGCTATTTTGCTAAGAAGTGTCACGGTGATGTGTGTTAAGGTTTTTGCGCTGGCCTGCATGTGCCCAATTCGTGTAGCAATAAGAATAATTAGCACTGCAGCTGATGCCTGGTGTCTAATACATTCGCAAACGTCAATTATAGTGCCTTTGATAAGGTCAAATGTACAATGTTGCGTAAGAGAATTGAGCGTGCTATGTATTTTGTAAATTATAGCTAATAAGTATTTGTGTGTCAGTCAGTGCAATACGCAATCGCCTAATGCCAATTTTATTGATATTCGTGACTTTATTTTAACATATGGAGTACATGGCATATGTATAAGCAAGTCTTTTCTTAAGTCACATCATGACTTGGCTTGGTTTAGCATTCTACGCTACCACCTTATCCGCAATGATCGAGTTGATCGTGGTGGGGGATGGCGTTGCTATGTACTTGCATAAATCTATTGGGACTTCTGTTGTTGCATTTTCTCCTGTATGGCCTGCAAAATGTTGTGCGTCCTGATTATCTTTTCGGTTCAGTTACGTATATTGTTTGGTCAATTTGATATCTCTTCAACCCACTATGTTTTACAATATCATTTTGATGCCCGTCATTTTGCCTGTTCTTCCTTTTATGTACAAAATTTCTGCCTTTTCCTGTCTTGTATCTGTTCAAACCCTCCTTTTTCTTGATTTTACTGATAATGAGATAATACCTAATTTCTGCTAAAGGGAAAAAAATTTCAAATATTTGGATAGAATGACAAAATTCAGGGTACGAGCCCCACATTAATCCTTGCTTTATTTATATGAACACCAAATGCATTCGATGGATGAAAATACTCTTAATTTAAAGCTAAATTCGATATTCATTCAATCTCACTAATTTAAAAATAATACACAAAAAATTATTGCTTTATTAGAATACATTGACATACTATAATTCGTAATAATTATATTTGGTTTTGGTATAGCCACAGTAAAAAGATAGTAAACTCCAGGGTGCGAGTCTACTATCCTCCATTGACTCTTAGCTGTCACTGCTTTTTTTATAATTCCTTTTTCACTCATCATCTCCGTTTTTCCCAATTTACATAGTATTCCTCCTTCATCTAGAAAGTAGACAATATTTTATTTTAATGTTACGTTAACGAAATTTCACATTATAGTCTCTAAGGCACACTAAATGACTTCTTTTATTTCTCCATACATCCCTATTCCTATCGTACGAAATCCCCGTGTACAAATTTTGTTCTTCTTCTTACGTCATTTTTTCATCTCGTTTACTAATTCACCTGCGGGCATAGCTTCTGGCTTTTCTTCACCATCGCTTCTTTTATTGTCGAATGCAGTAACCCTTTTGTCACGATCGTCATCCTCACTCTTCTCGTTTCTTATGTTTGTATTTTTCATAAATATTAGTCATCCTTTCTGTTCTATGTATGCCTCTATTATACTCCATTCTTCCATGTCTTTCCCCTGCACCCCTCTCCTGTGCTTTATCTTTCTGCTCAACTTGTTGACTTCCAACTTTAATCTAGCTATCACCATCTCATGCTCATCTTGTTTTTTTTAAATTCTTGTTAATTTTGTCTGTAATCTTTCGTGTTCTGCTTTTTCTTCTTCACACAGGCTATCTCTTACTGTTTTCAATTTCTCACATAGAGTCTGCTATTGCACTCTCTTTCTAACCTAGATTCTAATTAACTAGTTTTTAATACAAGTACCTGGCGCATTTTTTTCCACCGTCATCTCGTTTCAATCTGGGCTGCTGCTGCTGCTCTTGCTCTTCTTTTGATGCCAATTTGGTGTCAATCTTACCCTGTCTCTCCAAGCCCTCTCCCAACGTCTTAAACTGTTGCTATCTGCTGGTTTTTTGATGAGCTACTCAAATTGTTCTCTATCATTATTGAGTCTCCATCACTGTTTTCTGCTTCCTTCCTTATCGGCCTCTCATTCTATTTTTTCTTAACCACTCTCATTAATACGCTTCCTTCCGTTACCCCTTTTGCAGCTCTGCTTTGTTCTACTCCATTTGGCTTTTCTACCACCGGTTTCTTTCCGTCTTTTCCTCTGTCTGTCCCGAGACTCTAGCCAGACCCTCATTTTATCGGTGAATGTTCTACCTTTCTCCTTCCATTCATTGCTACCTTGAAGCCGATACTTCCACTTCTCAAGAATCTTTCCATGCTTGTTCCGTCTGACTCCTTTATCTTTTTTCCCTACTTCTTATCCGTATCTTTAACTTTCTTTGGTTGACCTTTACTCTTCTTCTTAAGTCTCTCTTTGACTCTAGCTACGTTTTTCTCTTTATCGTTTGTCCTTGTTGCTTCTCTGACATTCACTTATCGTATTAAAAAAAAAAAAAAAAAAAAAAACANACTTTTCTGATAATGTATGGAATTTCAGAGGGGGCTCTCTTTTTGAGGGGAGCCACAACATCTGGAACAGTACATAGGTAAAGTAACTATAGATTTTTTGGTAATATAGCTGGAGTGTGCTTGAGATTATCGCTGCGCTCTCTAAATAATAAGGATATGGAATACATGAAAACTCTGCGTGAATAGGTATACGTACTACTATTATTATTATATTTCAAATGAAAAAAAAAAAAAATAGTTTTTTTTGGTTTCTTTTTATTTTCATTCTTCTTTACCTAGATAATACTATTGCTTACATATCAGCACAGTACTTTTAAACTTTTTTCTTTCATCTCTACAATCCTCTATCAACTAATTTTGTAAGATAATAAATGATCAACATGAAATTATTCAAGACATACATCAAAGCGATTATTCTATTGATTAAGATTCATCAAATGAAGGTTCAATCTTTTCTGAAACTACAATTGACAAAGAGAGCTTAAGCGAAAAATTAGTACTGATCATGAAATATATGACAATGAGGCAAATCAACTTCTACCAAGATGCTTCTCTTACCCCAGCTGAAAGTATTATAGCTATTTTTACGTTAGTTAACCTACCGATCTTCAATAACAGGCTTTTGTCAAGCATTTTATTGCTCATTTAATTGCATTATATCTGTCCTAATAATTGTGTAAAAACACTTTTATTTTATGTGAGATTGTACAAAATACTTAATAAATAAATTTTATAATCATGAATATCAAAAATTCATATGACTATTTATGTACTAGTTTGAACAAGGATTGGCCAAGGGTAGTCCCAATAATACAAAAATACCAATTTTGACCCATTCTGTCAGTTAAACGATCAGTTTTAGTCAAACATACGCCTAAAAATAAGAAACTACCAAGCCTAACCCATTGAATATGACCAGCAGTTAAGGTTTTGCCGAAGGTACATCCAACAATTCAAAAAAGCCAATCTGGGCCCACTCAATCAGATGAACCTACAAGCTCCCGCAAGGCTTTATCTAGCGTACGCCAAAAAAATAAAAAATCTGAAACCTTGCCCGATTCCATTTTTTAAACTTGCAAACTAGTGCAAGGCTTTGCCAAAGATACGCCAAATACATACTTACGAAATGCAAAGCTTGCCACAGTCCTATTGCCTAAGTTTGGCGAAACTTGGGACAATGGTAACCTTGGCTTAACTTGTCCTAAATTGAGTAATTTGTATGAGGATGAACCTTGTAAAATACGATTTAGTCACATGTTTAAGTATTTCTTCTGCCTGTAACTTTGAACTTTCACTGATAGTTAGTATTCTTTAATACCTTTTTTGCAGAAATAATGAGTGTATAGAGATTAATATTTAGAATTTAGCGTATATGTTGAAACCTCAGATCCTTGTTATATTGCATGTGTGAGCAAAAAAAGTGGTTTAAGTTTTTACGTAATAGTCACATAAGATACTTATATGTGTTGTTATGTAATTACATTCCATTTAAAAGAGATATCTGTTTTGATTTGCATATTATATTCATAGATGCACTTCAACAAGGAGCGTCACAGTTTGAACAGCAAGCAGGGAAACTTAAAAGAAAGTTCTGGCTACAAAATCTTAAGGTAACTTTTTTAATTTCAGTTATAATTGGTAATTTTCACCAATGAAAAACAGAGAAGAGTATATTATATAAGGTGTACCTTACATTATAATTTAAAAATGAAATACTACAAACATTAGCATACTAAAACTTTTTTAGTTTTTGTTATTAAATCAATTTATCAAATATAACATCTGTGCTCTTACATTACTTTCTTATGATTATTTCTGTATTAATGGATTAAATCCTCGATAGTACAATCATGCTAGACTGAAGGGGTACCTACTTGCACATGTGCGTGAATTTTGTTAAGCTTATTTGCTCGAAATGCTAAAGAAGAAAAATAAAGACAATATTTTAGAAAAATTTCTTATAATATTTAAGTGTATAATAATTCTTAACGTTTTCAACAAATTTTGACGTAGTTCAGTAGTTCAAGTGTGACTTTTCGTATGGCAATTAAAATTCAGATAGCGTTTGTAAAATAAATTATTTGACAGTTAGGACAAGAATTAAAAGGATTGACATATTATATTCCGTATTAACATTGGAAAATTAGGTGAGCATATAGCTGACTTGTTTTAATTAAACTTAGATAAAACGTAAGCGTTCTTTAGTGAAGTGTGGGAAAAATCAAAAGTATTATGGCATTCCTGTTTTTCCAATCTCCTAACTATCTATGTTCTTGTACTGGTTTAAATTCTTTTTAAATACTAAGCTATGCGTCACATAAACTTTTTAGCAATTTAGTTTATTAACTAACCGAAGCATGTAAAAAATTACACACTCAAAACTTTATTTTAATTTTCATTGTCGCTTACTTCTTTTTATGAAAGAGAATTAAATAATTTTATTGTGCTAAAATGTTTACACTAATATTTTTTAACACTATGTTAGCATTTTAAAAATGAAAAAAAATCCAAACCTATTAACTTGTTTTTAGTGTCAGTGCCAGAACTAAGTTACTAGTTTATTTGAGGATAGGGGTGAAGTTTAAAAACATGACTTTAGATTGGTAGGGGAGGGGGGAGTGTAGAGATAGTGAGCTTCTTTTGCATAAGTGACTATAAAATCAATATAAAAATTAAAAAGAATCTACATCACAATATGATTCTTGTGCTGTAGTTATAAAATAAAAAAATTCTACGATTACGAGTTAAGTTTGTGACTTTTCAACATCTGAAATGGTCATGCCAATAACTACAAATATTAATTCTTAGGTTGTAAGAGAAAACTTATTTGTTTAAAAAATTAATATATTATTTATTCTTGTGTCAACAGTAACTATTTCTTATCAGTTCCAATTTTTAAGAAGTTGGTGCGCAAAACTATTTTCATTAAATAATTACATCAACATCAGAATTGTAGTAGGCGCTAGCTACAGCCCCGCTAGGCTTTGATTTCTTAATACTTATAAAATATCCATTCGCTCTGAGTCGATGCAGATGTAGCGCCCTTTGAGGTAGATATTTGACAAAAGTTTTACAGTGTAAACAAACAGGTGCCGTAGTGTTACGGAACAAGCTTTGGGGATTCTCGTGTAAACTAAGGATTAGCGAGACTTTACGCTGACTGCTCAGCCACGACCGCCTCCAAACTTAATTGTACTTTTAGGTGCACTATTATATCGTCAGTTGTACATCAGTGTGCCCAAACACCTCCCCGGCTTATGTGTCTCTTCAATGACACGTCTTGTTATGTGACACCTGCCCGCTATGCTATGTAACAGTGTGACAATATCATTTTTTGACAGAGTTACTTCATTAGTTCTTGACTGACCAGAAAACGTAGTTTTTATCGGCCACTGGAGGTAATGCAGATTTATTCGTATTTTCAATTAGGTTAGTGATAGATGTATAAGCACACATCCGAATTGATTTTTGTGCGAATTACCTACTCAACCGTCTAAGACAGTATCCCATTCTACATCCCACCCAATATCACCAATTTACGCTTGTTACAGAACAAGCTTTAGTGATTCCCGTGTAGATAAGAGAAGGTAATTCCAATATATTTAATAAATGAGTTAAAGTGGCTGAAAAATTGTAGTAAGTACCTCTGTTAACAAGACGGAACTGAGGCTCAAACCAATCACTTAAAGATTCGCGAGACTGTACGCTTACCACTTGGCCACGACTGTCACCAAAAGTGGCTATATCAACTGCACTCTTAGGTGCAGTATTATGTCGTCAGTTGTATGCTAGTGTGCCAATACGTAGGCCCTGGTTTAGCTGGAGGAGCCAAGCTACGTCCGTGACAGTAGCTAAACCTGGTCAAACAATGTGTATTATGTTCATTAAATTTTTACTTAAAATCTGTTTAGTTGGTACGGTCGTCTTTAAACATACTTAAAATAATTGATGACATGCAGTTTGTTATGCAAACGGGTTCTGCTTCTATTAGGCATAATATAAATTTTGACCCTCAAAAACTTGTCCAAAGAGTTGAAGAAATTCAAGGATTCGGTAATAGCAGGTTAATATCCATGTGAACATTTATTCTGATTATGTTTAGAGACAAAATTATAAACAAAACGAGTCTGAAATAAAGATTTAATGGATACAAAACACTCTTTTTAACAGGGCTTAGCTATGTCGTCTGTTTAGTAATGCTGCAGAGGGCACTATCTCTACATTGGCTCAGAGCAAATGTATATTCTGTTTCGAAATTCAGCTGCCATTGCATGTTAATTATAAGACTTGTAAAAATTGTACACTACATCATACTTGTACAAGCTTGTGGTCTGATAATAGTGAGATACAAACGTGTAGATTCTGTAAGAATAAATTCTGACAATGATAAGAGGGCTATCGATGATTTCTTACACCGATTACTTTAAAACGTGATAGTATCAAAATCGAGTACAATGACACTATTTTTTTCCTTAGATGATTTAGGGTACAGTACTGGTTATTTGAGAAATTACTCAAATAAAATCAAAAAACTAACTATGTAACAACACTATTTATACAGGCTCTCTTACGGATCAAATGAGATGAATGTTAATGCATTATTAAATGGGGGACAATTGACGCAAAAACTTTTTATTCATTTTTATGTAATAATTAAATACAACCGTTTACATTATTTTAAATGTACACAAAAAAGTCTTAGAACTGAATGTTATCAAGGTTAATTGGATTAAATCGTCAATATTGCATCCAACATTTCTAAAAATTTCGAGACAAAGAAAACAATTGGAAATCTTTTTATACTTCCATCTGTATATATTAAAATTCCAAGATGTACGCAAAAACATTTTAATATATAGTGTCTGTAATGACAAAATGTGGTAGACCAAATTTATGTATAACGGCAACATGTAATCCTAAATGGAAAGGATTGAAGTTAATTTGATAAAAGTTTTCTAAAAATACGAGAACGAATGACTATCCAAACATGACTGTTAGACTATTTTACTTGAAATTAATGTAAAGTTTAGATAAAATCATTAAAAATGATACGTTCGGTGAAATATTAGCATACGTTAACACCACAAAATTCATAAAGTGTGGTCTACCTTATGCATACAGTTTAATAACTATGCATTATGACAAAAAAAAAAAAATTGTTTCAGCTGGAATATCTTCTGGTGATACAAAACTTACAAAATTAGTGGCTTATTACATGCTTTACTACCCTTATACTGAACAAAGTCCTAGTATAATTGATCTAAAATGTAAGAAAAATGTTCCGAAACCATTTACAAACGTAACTACATTTTGAACGAATAGTAACCCCGAATTTAAAGGAGAAAGAAATAATTCAAAACAACATGTTCATAAGCTTTAGAGAAAAGATAAAATTTTAGTTGATAGTTTGAGAGTTGCAAGTATAATAAATTTTTTTCGATGAAATACAAATGTCGTATTAACGTCGAATTTGGTGCATCTACTCAAAGTATACAATATACTTATGACTACGTGCATTAAAGTAGTGATGGAGTATACATGAAAATTCGAAAATTTAAAGACTAAGACAAAGCAATATTTGATAAAATTAACACTTACCTTGGTGCTAGATATGTAGGTCCGATGAAAGAAGCTTGGAGATTGCGAGAATTTTTTAATTGTGGGAGAAGTCATTCAGTTGTATAAATGGCTGTTCATCTTTAAAATAAACAAAAAAATTTTTTCAAAGAAGATGATATTAAAAGGGTCATAAGAAAACTACAATTTGCAGTTAACAGCTAGGTTCGATGTAAATACACATGATGGCTTTGAAAAATCCATAAAGTATGTGAATATTCCAGAATACCACATTTTTCATGATACATTCGAAAGTTAGGAGAGACAAAAAAATGTAATAAAAAATACTGCAATAGGTTAATAAAACATTGTACATCGAAAAAATCATTAAATATTTTTTTTTAATTTGTATTAAATGAAGTAACTGGTTAACATTGTTCAAAGATGTTAGAACGTTCAAAAGAACGACTTATGAAACATTTAAATATATTGTAATTTCAATGTTAAACAGATAATGATGAAACAATATATAACATTTTCAAAGAAGCAATCGCTACTATGTTTCCATATTAACTAAGACCAGTTTTTGCTTTGTTTTTAGTTTTCGAAAACATTCAACGTGGCAACAAATAAAATTAATATAAAGAATTTTTTAAAGCAGATTTGCTAAATGCTAAATATAATTTAGATCTTTTACATATTAACTTAATTTTAAAATCAAAAGATAAATCATTTATGTGCTTTAAACTACCTACAGCAAAGAAAAAGGAAAAAAAAGTATCTACATGAAGAAAGACATTTGAGTAAAGAAATGCTTAACTCAATATATATTCGTTTAAATAATGACCTTAAAAAATTATTTAATATTATTTACGAACGGGAAAATGATATTTTCTTCATAGATAATCCAGAAGGGTCGGAAAAAGCTGTTTTATAAAAAACGTTAATTTATTATTTTTATTCTTAAAATAAAAAAGTTTTCTCATCGCACGGACTACTATAACAATAATTTGGTTCCAAAAGGAACGATAAGTTATAGAAATTTTAGACCTCT